TATATATGTATGTATATATGTATATATATATGTATGTATATATGTATATATATATGTATGTATATATGTATATATATATGTATGTATATATGTATATATATATGTATGTATATATGTATATATGTATATATATATGTATATATGTATATATGTATATATGTATGTATATATGTATATATGTATATGTATATATGTATGTATATATGTATATATGTATGTATATGTATTGTGTGTGTGTGTGTATACATAAAGTAAACTGAAATACGAACAATGATTCCATCGCTTGTTGTTCCACAGGAACCCAATGAGAAGCCGGCTAAAAGAGAAAACCCTCACAAGTATTTGCTGTACAAGCCAACATTCAGCCAGCTTTTTACTTTCTTGTCCGCCTCTTTTAAGGTCAGTATTCACCTTAGTCATAAGTAACACATTCATTGTGTTGATCCCATTTACTGACTTTGGGAGATTTTCATGATCTGGACCCATATTTTGTTAGAATCATGGGTAGGTGGTGCAGAATAACTGATTTATATAGATATCTATCTCTCTCTCTCTCTCTCTCTCTCTTCCCCCCCCCCTTCAGGAGTTGCCTGCCAACAGCGTTCTGCTTGTGTACCTGTCAGCGACGGGAGTCTTCCCTACTGGCAATTCAGATTATGAAGGTAAAATCTCAAAGTTAGACCACACATTTTTTTCTTAATATCATACAGACTTTTTATGAAATATAGACATGCCACCAAACTGTTTACATTGTTAGATAAAAAAAAAAAGTATATATATTAATTTATATTATTGTAATCTGACGGCTTAACTGGTGACAGTTGTCTAAACGCGCTCATTGTCTCATCTTCAGTCTCTAAGCCTACGTTCACAGTAGGCTGGCTGAAGCACTGTTTACATGTGTAGAGCACGTTTTGCACTGTTGCACTTATAAAGTAGGCAGCAGAATTCTACTTCTGATAATGTTAAATGATGCGATTACTGAGAGAAGAGGAACGTACCTCACACTCATAGTGATCATTCATTTAGACTTCACCTAAAGTCTGAAATGTTTTAAATTCCGTCAGTGATGCACAGTGATACCATAACTATTTAAATACATAACTTGCTGTTCTTCAGTGCCTCCGCTCCCTCTAACACACCAGGTGCCAAATATGATGTGATTTCTTGGCTGATAGAGCCGTCACTAACACTGAGACAATAATGTTCTGTATTCTATAAAAGACCAGGGAGGAAGCACTACATGGAGCTCACGGCAGCGTTCAGCAGAGCAGGTGCTCCTGTTTAATGGTTCAAAGCTGTTAGCTTTTACTCAACATACCTGTCTACGTTAACAGACCGTAAGAAAGCAATGGGCCTTGCGATTCGACATTGGGAATTCATTATCTTGGTTGTCACATCAATCGAATAAACAACCTTAGTTGCTTATTAAAAAATCCCATTATTCTAGATAAAGCTACGGGGATAATCACAATATGTTTGACCCAGAGTCTTTGCTGCTTATTCCAGTGTCTGCTAGATGGTTTTATTTGGTCCACCTGCTGATGCATCAACATCCAGTCTTTTAGAGGCAAACATGGACCATGCTAACCAGTAGAGTTGCAGTGAAATGTATGATCTATATGTCACAATCAATCACGTCTATTCAACTTGAAGCAATTAGGCATAATCTTTGACCATTTCCTGTAGGACCATATGATTTTGGAGGAGTCCTCACAAATACAAATCGAGATGTGGTGAACGGAGAGACGGTGCAGAAGAGGAATCAGGCTCAGAAAGAAATGCACTGGTGATTATTGATTTGTCTAATATGTTTATTAGCATTTTTTTAAATGTGTATTTAACATTTTAGGAAAAGAAGAATGCTTCCTGTGTCTACAGACCTGACCCAAGAGGAACATCAGTTTGCTTGTTGTGTCTAATCTACCTGACTCATTCTGTGTGTGCTAATAACAAGCTTAGAATCTCCAACCATGTGTACAGCTCACTGTAGAACTGCTGGGACAGAAATGTAACTTCCTGACATTTACTTGTTTGTAATGTTGCAGCCTTCATCCAGGGGACTTATTCCCTTTCACCCGGAAGCCACTCTTTGTCATCGTAGATTCTTCAAACAGCACAGCCTACAAGGTATGTAAGTAGTTAAGTTACCTGGAAAGAAACACATCTGTATCAGATGTTTTCAAACTGTAAGGGCGAGTTGAAGGGGCGGAGAAACGTGAGGCAGAGCGACTGTGAGATGAAAGGGAGAGGTGCAACAGGGAGTTATTGATTGTAGGCTGGCTGTTGATTGGCTGCTCACCAACGTGGTCAGCAGCAGTGGCTGTTGTGTGCTCACAGACCTTAAAACACTCATCCCCGAATTGCAGAAGGTGCGTCAAAATTCATTCTCAGTCATATCTGAACAAACAGACATGATACGCGATACATGATGTTTTTAAATTCAGTGTGACTTACACTGTCCGAGGACGTCATTATCTTCGTATCTTCCTTGTGAATAAAGGTCCATAGATCCTCTCCTTATAACTCCAGAAGTGTTTAACTTTCCTTCTGTATTAAAGTAATCCAGTAATAGGTGTCTGGACATCCATGGGTACACTGCAAACAGGAAATGCTAAAAGCAAATTTTAATGGTTTAACAAAATATAAACAACTGTAAGCAAACTCGCTGACTTTGTGGCAACTTTATACTCTCTGTGTACATCCCCCAAAGCCTCCAAATGATGATTTGGAGGCTCTAACTGATTTTTGACATTTGATAACCTGTTGTGTATATGATATGACCACACTATGAATGTACTGTATATTCTTATAACTAATATGACTTTTTCATCCTAACAGCATTTCACAAATCTGTTTGGGCAGCCTCTGGTGTGCCTGCTGTCACCTACAGTATATCCCAAGAGTGTGCAAGGTGTGTGTCACTCTAAACAACACTTCATTAAACGGAGATATTCTATATTTCCTTACTGTCAGCAAATCCATGAACAGATCAAACCGACAATGTGTCTGTCCCTCAATACTCTCTGACTCCTCATTGGTTCATCCTGAAGGCCAGGCATCTTTAGAAACAGCTCAGAAATATTTAGTTTTGTTTTTTTAAAGCTCAGTTTCCTGAAACAGCTGGTCACTGTAGCTTTTATCAACCGTTACTCAGACAGGAGGAAAAAGAGTTTGTTGGGGACTATTTTCAGCAGCGGATGAATCCACATGTGTTGCTCTAGTGAGTGTTTGAGTCAGCAGGACGGTGTATGTGGGACTGAGTCTAAATAAAGTCATTGATGTGTTTTAATAGAGCTCTATGGACAGAGGAAGAAGAGACATCCACACACTCTACTTGTTAGCAGATACACTCACTGTTGCTTTGGGTCTGCTCATTACACTTATTGACAATAAGAAAAGCATAGATTATCACCAGGCATATGCTTTAAGTTAACAAAAAGCTGCAGTTATCTATTAGCTGGCAGTTTTACATATTATGAATTAGATACTAAATCTCTGTTTTGAAAACCAGTCCTTATCTATCAACCTAAATCTTGGTTATTTAGGTTTTTCAATTTCCAGTGTGTATGAAATGTATGGTGTTCTCACATGTTCTCACTTCTAACCTGTGCCACGTCTCTGCTTACTTCAGATCAGTCTCAGCGTGGGAGTCTCTTCACTCTGTTCCTCTACAGTCCCCTCTTAGCGTTCGCCTCTGTGTGTGGATTAACCAGTGTGCAGCGAGGCCTGTGGGAAAGGGCTCAAGAGTTTCTCTGTAAAGTCTACCGGGACATTGGGCAGATGATTACTCGATCACGAACCATAGGTAGCACATCTCCCATTCAATTTCATACTATAATAGCAGACATTACAGGATAGAGTGGACCATGTTACAGGTGTATTTCTTGTTTTTTTTTATTAATTTCAATTATAATTTTCAAATTAAACATGGTATTAGTCAGGTTAAAATTAATTTCAATGAGTTATTTAACAGCACTAACCATGAACAGCAGTGTTTCCGGTCCGTGTCCTGCAGGAAACCTTGTTTGCATGTCACTTCCCATCTCTCTCTCACCCCTTGACTTTTTGTCATCCCTCTGTCAACTCTGTCATAAATGCACAAAAATGTGAAGCGGTTATTGTTGAGGGCGTTAGCGTTCTGAGGGATCATCCCAAGTGGGGTATGAGGGTTGTTAAGCCCTGTCATGAGTCTGGGTACAGGAGTAGAGGAGTGGCCCATCCTCTACTCGGTTCTATGGTTCATCCTTAAGCCTTGAGACACCACAGTTGGGCCGTTGGCACCAGTCTGCCCTCGATGGTGGCTTTTTGGTCGATTCAGCATGTTGAATCGATAACGTCATCTGGAATGAAGCCAAGTGGTAAGCGAGCAAGCGCTGCTTTGTTTCATGTCTGTATCCTCACAACTGCTTGTACATCTGCGGTCCAAGGTGTCTGCTTTCCCTTTTTTGAAAGACAAAGAAAAAGACGAGCGCCACCTGCTGGTATGGAGAGTTATTCCCTCTCACAGAGTGTTGGCTGTAGTCTTTGCAATGTGCACAAGTGCAACTTTCTGGTCAAGACACAGGCGGCGTGAGACGACGCAACGGCCGGCCTACGTCACTGCTTGTTGGTTGATTTTGGTTTTGGTGGGTCTTGGCCTTTAAACTGGTCCCTTGCTCTCCAGGTTCTACCCTCTCATGGCTCCTGCTCACATAGCTGGCCACTTGTGCTAATAAGAGGAGACCTCAAGTTGTTGCAGCCTCGGACAGACTATTGACATCTTTCGTAATGTGGGAGCAGTGCACCAGGCCAATATCTCTGAGTTTGTAGGCATTGTGACAGCTTAGGAGTGTTTAAATGCAGAGGTCAAATTTCATGTACATAATGTATGTGAAAATTAGAATAAAGTTGAGGTTTTTTACTGGGTCAGTATCTGATAGAGAAACTGAGAAAGAAGGCAAACATCCTCCCTGTTCACTGTATTCCTTCATCTAATACCTCATAGGCTACTCTCCCTCTCTGAGCTTCTGTCTGCGAGGAAATCAAAGGAGGAACCTGACCTCGGCGTTCCTGTGGGAAGTCTTTGGTTGTGGAGGATGCAGGCAGAGATGGAGAAAAGAAAAACCACTAAAATGTTGTGTTGTGTTGTTTCTCTGTCTGCAGATCAAGCCTTTTTGCAATTCTTTGGTGACGAGTTCCTCCGGCTGCTGCTGATCCGCTTTGTGTTCTGCTCAGCTGCACTGAGACTGCATAAACTCTTCCGGGTGAGTCCCTGCTACTGTGGTTTCCTAAGAAAGTTGCATTGTTTATTTCAATGCCAAAAATATACCATAAGAGCCCAGTACTCAGGCTTGTAGTCTTTACACACACCATCGGGCACATAGCACACAAAGTGTGTCCCACTTCATTGCCAACACACAATACACTTGATGCACACTTCAGAGCATCTATTCAGAGCCAAGTGTATCCCACCGATCATTACGATCTACTGCACCACACCAGTGTAGCTGCTACTAGTAACACACCTGCAAGCTGGCTGGCTGACCCCCATCACACTGCTGCAGCAGAATGACTAGAGGAGCCCCAAGCCTGTACAATTAAACACTGACCTCGGTCCACAGTGAAACACACAACAATGCTTGGCCGCTAGTAATGACAGAAAACACTTAGTCTGTGGTCATGTTTGAGTCGGAGGTCTTTGTGTTTGCAGGAGGCCCAGAGCTTCCCGGAGTCGTACCCTGAGCTCCCTAAACAGGACACAGTGGAGAGCATCCTTCTACAGAAGCATATTTTGGAGCTGGCGACTATGCTGGATGTCCAGAGCCTATTTTGGGATGATCCACCAGAAGCCTACTAACATCTTTGCTCAGGGCAAAATGGCATATGTGTACATACAGACTCAACTGCCAGGGCCCTCATAGTTCTCTTTTTTTTTGTTTACAGGTAATGAAATAATTCATTCAGAACATAAAAGCTCATGTCACGCATTTCACTGTTACTTGTGGAAGCAAATGTAGTGCAACATTAAAATGTCCACATAGATACTGTAAGTTTAGTATAATTTGCCCGTTATGAGTCTCAGCGGCTTCCTCCTAAATGTAATCAGCATCATGTCCTCCTCACCAGCCTCCACATGTGAGGTTAAAACCTGCAGCCTCCAACTGTATTCCTCCTCACAGAATTGTTGGCAATCTTGGTTTCATGTTTATTTGAAATGATATTTATTGTTGTTAATTAGAGGGAAGGTTGTGTAAGCCTAAGAGATAGAGAATAGAAGAACCCTGTGTGACTGTATCTGTGTGTGAAGGTTGAGAGAGAGCACAGTGCTGAACAAAAGCCTTCTCTGCATCAGTACATATGGAAAGCAGCTTTAATGTTAGCACATTATCCCTACGCTAGCTTAGAAGCTGAATCTTTCATCAAAAACCTTATCACTGGTATTTGCCAAACAGTGCTTGCTGTTTAACAGCTTAACTTGTAGCAGGCTGAGGTGCATGAGGTCATGTTCTGTTGTGTGTTGTAAGTCCTCATTAGTTGGAAAAATATCACACACCCTTGGTGACATTAACCAGCAATCCATCTAATACCTTGAATTGTCTGTTGTTTAGCCTTGAGCCTTTTCAAAGTGATTGTTGTTGCTCTTCCATGTCACTGTGCTGTATTTGCATGCAAGAAATGTATCCATGTAGTTGTTTTATCCACAAAGACCGGCCTCCAACTTTGAGGCTCTAGAAAGGCTTGTAGATGTGAAACGGCATGGTTGGACAGTAAGTTGAGCCAGTGCATGTGTTGCATGGGCCCGTACATTTGTAGTTGTCAGCAAATGAAGACAATCTAGTTTGTAACAGAGGAGATGAAGGAAGGCAGCATGCACACTAACGTGCATCATTCCGTTAATTACTTAAATGGCACCAAAACACTTCCGTCACCTTTTAATGACGAGCGGTTCTATTCTGTTACCTGCCCGTTGCTTGAATGCAATATCATCGGCAGTCGGGTCACTTTCCTCACACGTTGGCTACATAGGTTCCACTCTCACGTTGATCCAAACAGCTTACAGATCTTTGTCAGTTCGGTACGCTCAGACTGCAGGCAGATTTCTTTCTGATCACTTTCATTAGCAAGTGATCAGAAGTGAGAATCCTTTTGACAGTTTGATTAGATGCCCATGTCCACGAGGGTTGTCCATCGGCAAACCTGTGTGAACGCTCCTGTGTATGCACACACCCACGTAAACAGGACTACATGAGGTGTAGTTGTCTAGTGGTTCATAGAAGAACTGCAGCTGAAGGCACTAATGGTGGCTGCTGCATGCAGGCAAGAACTCTTGAGTTATTTAAAAAATGAAAGTAGTTTGTCGGTAGTTTAAATAAAGTTTTCTGTTGATGGGGATTGTGAGGAATGAAATGGATCACAGGAAACTGATGCTGTTCATGGCCTGAAGCAGGCAGCCAGCTGTTCCTTTGACTGAGGCATATTATGCTGAGGCGTTGTATTCCATCAGTGGTCAAAGACACACTTCCAGGATGCCCTGGATCCTAATGCAGCCCAGGACCTTTATCATCATTCATCCCTCTCTCTCCGATACTTTTCTGTCTCTTTCAACTCTCTAAACACCAACGATCTGAAAATATTCGCTTGCCAGTGAATCAAAGAAGTATCGGACTTCTAAAATAGCATGAGCGCTGTCCCAGCTAGCACCTTTTCATTTACTTCATGTATTGTTTCTGCAATAGAAAGTAGACATCAGTAGACATCAGTAGACTGCTGTCTGGTGCCAGAATGAAATCCCCCATGTTGTCTCACTTTACAGACATTTCTCTCCAGAGACCTGCTTAGTGGAGAAAAGGTGTCGGGAGAAGAATTTCTACATTTAGACGCAATCAGTGGTGTGCAAATATTATTTAAACAACGTATTGATATTATATTTTATATTCCAGAATCTAACAAGCTGCATCTTTTCTAGTAAGCACGTTCTTCACAGAACACGTGACAGCACTGGGCTGTTTGTTTTAAAGCAGGTTCATGCTGCTGAACTGTTCCAGAGGGTACGCAGGTTTCTGACTAGTCATGGATAATAGGTACCACTGTAATGTTCATTTGTGTCCCACTAGCCCAAAGATGGCAGTGTCTGTCAGCATGTTCCCATAGAATACTATGACCCAAAGAAGGATAGTTCAAGTACTGTCCAAACGAACAGGAAATATCTGATTGGCTGAAAGGTAGATTCCTAAAGGTGTTGATGCCTGCCTCAACATTTGGGCCAAGACAAGGAATCTCCAGAATGACTGACCAAATTTCCAAATGTTGCTGTGTCTGTCCGTAGACCTTCAGAGCACTTTTTAGGCCAAAATGTTACTTTATCGTTTTTAAAGTGTCTGTATGCAATATATTTTGTCCAGCACCACTCAGGTCTCTAGCTCGGCTTCAGGACTCTGTTTTTCACAGTTTCATATGTTTTGAATTATGCTCCACATCTTAACACACACCAAAGTAGAAACAAGCTGAAGGCAAGTATATAATGTGAAATGTTGACCATTGGGGATTGATTTCTGACACTGACAGGAGGAGTGATTGCACCTTGTAGTGATTGTAGTGATGCAGATACTGAAAGCAGCTGACAGTTACCTGCCCCTGACCAAAATGTTCAATGATGCAGGATGTAGCCAAGCCAGCTGGTTGGATTACAACCTTTGAATTGATAGAAATGATAAGAACACTATTTTTTAGTGTTGGTTATATTTATTGACATTGATAGTTTGTGTACAGATAATGTAAAGCAATGTTTTGGCACAGACGTGTGTTCAGTATTTAGTAAGTCTATAAAATGTGTGATGAAATATGGCGTTAAACTTAAAGGAGCAGTGTGTAGGATTTAGCGGCATCCAGTGGTGAAGTTGCAGATTGCAACCAACTGAATATGCGTCCCTTCTCTGGCGTAGAGAGAACTACGGTGGCCTGCAGGTGACGAGAGAACGTGACGGCTCTCTGGGTCGTCCTTTCTGGGCTTCTGTAGAAACATGGTGGACTCTGTGTGGAGGACCGGCTCCCACTGCAGATGTGAAGAGCTCATGCTAAGCTAACTAAAACACAATGGTTCTGATGAAAACATGGTTATGAAGATTATATTCCATTTGTGCCAATAAATCCCCCTTAATGTTACACACTGTTCTTTTAAGGAAGAGCTGTTAATGAGGCCACTTTGTTCTTTGGCCATTTTTTAAAAATATGTGACATTCCAACTTTCCAAGGACTTGAAGAGAGGCAGAGGACAAGTACCACTGCTCTCTCCATTTTACATGTGTCTGGTAAAGTGAGCCGTTTCTACACTTCCTTCTATTTTCATTGTAATATCAACCTCCACGTTCCCTTGTGTTGACAGTTATGACGATTAAGATATTGTAGGCTTGCACTTTATGGAGTTTAATATTGTTCTGATCTTGTTGTGCTGTGAGAATAATCCTTCCATGTGAGTGTTCCTCATGCCAGCTCTTCATACTGGTGACCTTCTTTTTTTACTCACTCAGTGATTTCAAACCTTTTCTTATAGGAACTGCTCGTCTGCTGTCACTTTTTAACAGCCTCTTCCTGAAATGTGTCAAACATGTTTGCTGATTTCCAAAAAGTGTTGAATAGGCAGCAATAACATGTTCATGTACATGTGTGGCAGAGTTCCACATCCTTCTGTTTGCTAGACAGTGGTGCTCTAAGACGATGCTGTCGGAGGGAATTGCAAGTCAAATCATGCTTTTTTTAAACTTTAAGGAATATCAACAGCAACACTAACATTTGACATGTTTGGACATCAATTAAGACAGAAGAAGAAGTGAAGAAATGTGTTCATTTAAACTGTCAAATATTGCAAGTCTGAAAAAGTCCTGATTACATGTTCTTGTATGGTGTTCAAATCCATGAAAATATCAAGTATGTGGCCTAATGGCACAACTTAAGCATTATTTAATGGAAAATAAGCTCAAACAGTGAAGTGACATTGTTCTCTGATCATAATGAAACATCAAAGAAACAAAGATGGCGTTTAGCTTCTGTTGAGCCCGTTGGCTGTCGTGATGTCTCCTGTGCTTCATATTTAAGACAGGACTGTGAACACAACCAGCTCATTTCTTATGTAGCACCAGTGGGTTAGTAGCACAGGAGAAGTCTACATATTCCTCACACACTAAAGCTCCTTCAGACGGGATTGTGTGTGATGGTGAATATTAGTTTTTTAATTATTGTTCTCAATTTGACACAAAGCAGCCAGCAGCATGTGGTGGTGTGTAGAACTGTTCTGTGATGAAATGGCGTTTCCTGCTTCACATTATCTGATGGTGTATCAGCATGGCCTGTTAGAGTCCTGGAAACCGAGGAATTCTTTTTAACAAGATAACTTGTGTGAACAAGATGTTAAGAAGGTAACATTTGTGTGATTAAGATAAGTGTGAGCAATATATCAATTTGTGTAAACGAGACACTAACTTTTGCTAACGAGACAACTTATGCCACTGAGATATAAACAAGATTAACTTGTATAAACAAGCTTGCTTGTGTAATACGAATCTGTGCAAACGAGGTATGAACTAGATAACAGACCTTTTTGTTCATTCGAGGTGAAAATCCGATGTTGGAATCGGGGCTGATCTACAACTTCATGCACAGTTCATGCTGTACTCGGATGACAAAGCCTTACTGGAGGTGCACACTAAAACCCAGGAGTAAAACCCACTCTAGTGGCATGAGGCTTTCCTCTCTGCTAGTCTCTTCACCTAAAATAGAGTAGTTTACAAACTGCTGCTGAGTGCTCAAAGATACTTCTCGGTATTCTTGTATGTGAACTGGTTTAGCCTTATTGGATACAAGTTTCCCTCATTTGAAGCCTTGTTTTTTGAGAATCGGGCTTTCAAATTATTCCTACTTTTCCTTTACTGGACCCATATTGCAGTTTGATGCCTTTACTTATTCCCATGCCTAACAGTTGAGACTAAGGTAAACATAGATACTGTCGGGTCTTTCCAGTTGTTTCAACCAGCTACAATAAAGGTTCTCGGCAGAAAATGTCTCAGCTACATAAATCATTTTTTGCAGCGCCACAGAATCGATGGTTTCTTTTCTAAAGCTGCCACAGTGCACGTAGTCCGACATTCATACCAAGAAGATGCACAGAAACCAATTGATTTGACAGTTAGAGAAAATAACAGGGAGGATTTCAAGGCCCGCCTTAGGGGTATGAGACAAATCGGTGCTCGCCGAGCATAACCAGTATTAGAATCTACCAGCACAAGATCTTAATGTTTTTCACATGCCGCAAGCACAAAAGCCACTGCTCAATATAATGGACCCACATCCACAGAGAAGCATGTTGACGCCTCTTGGGAACACAACTCAAATAACTGCCGACTGATCAATCCTGTTTTCTCCCCCAGATATGCAGGGGTCATTTCTACCTTTTTATACTGTAACAAATGTCCAAAAGATGGGTGAAGCCTTCCTTTAGAGCAACACTTGTGACTTGCTTGTTATGATTTTCAGTCAGTGTCAAGTTTTGAGAATACATGACAGTTTAAGTTAAAAAAAAAATGCACAGATGATTTTTCATTGTGCAGCATGTTTGTTTAGAATAGAAAGTGCCAAAGACTGATGTGCTCTTGCTTTCCCATCTTAACAGTGATTGAGATCAATTATTGTATCGGATGGTTGTTTTTTCTTTTTTCTTTGTTGCCAGATGGAGCCAATAAAGAAAATGAAAAATGTGGCTTCATAAAAGGACTGATAAGTGTCTTTATTGTGGGACTGCTCTGTTACCATTAGTTTGTCAAGGCAAGTTTATAAATGTACCAATCAAACTACATAAAGATGAGTAGTGTGATTACATCATTAACTTGCCAATACAATAATGTACATATTTAATAACTTTTTCAGGTGGACTGTTTCATTAGCCAAATCAATGCTGATCTACACTGGAAACAAATATGTCAGTGTTATTGTGGTGAACTTGCTGACGCATATGGGGTTGGCGGTTGCCATGAGTGAAATGAGAATATATGGTTGTTTACTGCCCTCCAGCGGCCACGTTGAGGTACTACAACACTACAATAAATTAGACTGGCAGGGCGCCTGTACAGTACAAGATGGAGCTTAAATTTAGGTTTGAATCTGACGCATTTTGGTAGCGAGTGGTCCCAAACAGTTAATTAGAAAACAGCCTTCACCCTTCATTCTTAGTTAGCGGTCTAATGGATCATAGTTCCCGTTCAGTGCCTTTTTATATGGCTTGTTACAACGTGCATTCAACACACTTGTCTGGTGCTACTACAGCTTGTTGAGTTTGTTGCTAAGTGACGTTAGAATGTCGACTCTGGTCCAATCACTGTTGGTGAAAGATGTCACCTGCTTTAAACTGACCAACCAGAGAGACTTTAGCGTCACTACTACCTGTTGAGGTTTATCAAGTCTTCACGCCAAGAGACTTTCGACGTTTTGACAGCTAAATAAAGCCCGCGGTTCCTTCAATGAAACATATTTTCAAGTCTGGACGAATATATTTTGATTCCTCATATGGTAAGACGGATAATTCGTTGCTCAACTACACAGACGATAGAAAGGCTGCTGTCGGATAATAAGCTAATGTAACGTTATAACGTTACTTCTTGTTAAACTACCTTGTCTTTTGATAAGCGTTAGACTGACACACCCACCGCCATCATCTACATGCATCCAGCGGTCTAATGTTACATAGAATACAGACAGTTAGTGATGTAGTGTACCGGGTGTGGTAAATTAAGGACCCAGAAGCAGTACGACGGACACACGGAATAGTTGAAACGAGACTTTATTCCAGGCTGAACACACACAGGCAAACATGTACATGCACACGTGTAGAAATCCACTCGGTGGAACGAGAAGGCAGACAGAAACCAGAGCAAGGGTATAGTAGTCGGGGACAGAGCTGAGTCGTTTACCGGGGCAGAGGCAAGGCGGAGAAGTCCAAACAGACAGGGTCGGCAACGGGAAACCGGTCGGAGGGTAAACGCGGGAAAGTCTGGCATAATGCAGAGAAGGATCTGGCAGTGAGTGTGTGTGGGACTGGGGTCTAAACAGTGGGTGCAGCACAGTGAGCAGGTGAGAGTGATGAGCTGATGAGGTGAGCGAGAGACAGACTGGAGAGAAGGGGCGGAGCTGTGACATGTAGGTTGGAATTCATCGCTTTGATTGTTTGTTTGTTTAAGGAACTTCATTCAGTGTCGTTGTTGGTGTGATGTACTAAATATGTCGGAAGTAGAAAATTCGCATAAAAGTATACAAAATACACAACAAACATTTTACTTTTCTTCCTGATTTTGACAATAAGATTTCGAACATTTGCCTTCATCCCTGTTGACATGATAACGATCACACAACTATGTCGTAAACTAACTCCCGGTAATTGTCGTAAACATGTTAACTGCCTTATCTAGAGGGAAAAACCGGAATACTGTGCAGTCAAATTCATGTTAAACTTCCAATCACAGTTTGTAATTTAGTGTTTTGTGCATGTAATGACACATGTCATCAGCGTAACAATATTTACTGTTGTAAATGTGGATGTGAGCAGTTGAGATGGTTGGAGATACTAAACACACTCTGTCTCACAGAGGAAAGCAATGAGAACTCGATCAACTTCTCCTCCAATTCATTTGCACATCGACGATGCCACACCGGTCCATGTGCACGTGAAGAGCCAGAGGACGAGTCCTGCCAGGACGCCTCAGGTCACACTTCTACTCATGTTGTCTTTGTTTTTTACTGTTTTCATTTTTCTTTTTGATTGTAAATATGCACATTTTGAAGATATGTATCTTGTTGATCTTATTCTTTCTTGTCATTTCCTGATAACAAGTTATTATTATTATTATTATTATTATTATTATTATTATTAAATCATAACACTCAGTCCGGTTCATAGTACACACCTATCATACGCTGGAGTTGTGATGCAGCTAACAGATGACGTGACATGCTGCTACACACACTGTGTTTAAGGGGAAGAACAAGGTCGACAAAGGAAACCTCCATCCCACAGCCAAGGTCAAAACACGGTTGCCATGGATACCACCGGGGAAGGCCTCTGTACGGGACGCTTCATACAAGTGGGAGGTAACACCACTCAAAGGCAGTGTACACCTAAATCCCAAGCTCTCTTATCATGTTGTGAAAGATTGATTTAGCTCATCCAGTTAAAGACACAGTGGTATTCAATGTGTCATCTGCTCCAAGGGGCCAACACACTGCCTTGAGATCACACAACCGCTCCCTGAACCAGGACCTGAACACTCCCAGTCTGTGCTGCGATTAGCTGACCTCACATCAGAAGAAGAAGAAGGGCTGCACCAACGAATCAGCCAGTATGAGAGGAAGATTGACAGCTTACTGACTGAAGTCAGCTCTCTGAAGAACGAGGTCAGTTTCTCCTCTGCATCAGCCTTCCCTTATCAAGTTTTATTTTACACCTTATTTATGCTTCATTCAGCTTCTTCTTGTTTAAACTCTTATATTCCCGACACCCGCGTCCTTGGCCAACTGTAACTGAGTACTGTCTTTCAGAGGCTGTAGCAGGCTGAGGTTTACAGCTAGAGTGCTGGCATGATGTGTGAGCTTGTGAGGAATAGAGCTGAGTAACGCTCCAAAGTTAGGCTACATTCAAGTGAGGGAAACACTGGCATGGCTATAATCACAGGTGTCCCTGGACCTGTCACCTTAAAGTATGTGAATGAAAAGGCTTCTATTGGTCCCACTAGTCTCCCCTTCACAGACATGCCCACATCATGGGGGGCAACTATGGATCAGTGGTAGAGCGGGTCGTCCTTTAATCAGAGAATCTGCGGTTCGGTCCCCGGCCCGGTAGTCTTTGATGGTGTGACTTGGGCAACATACTTAACAGGTTGTTCCTGCAGTGTATGAACGGGTATGAATGTTAGATAGTCCTGATGGGCAGGTGGCACCTTGTATGGTAGCCCCTCCCATCAGTGTATGAATGGGTGAATGATGACATGTAGTGTTAAAGAGCTTTGAGTGGTCGTAGGACTAGAAAAGAGGAATACAAGTAGAGTTTATTTACCATTTGTCCTTAATGATAATCCCATGAAGTTTGCATTTTTTTGCATGCAGTATATTTTATAATTTTCTTAAAATGGTGTATTTTAATTTTTCTCAACCGTCTTGGAATTAAATAGATGACTGGATCACTGAATGTGTGATGATGTTAGTCCCCATAGTAGCCATTTCATTGTAGTGAGAACACTCTTTTAAACTTGACATCACTGTATACAATGACCTGTTGTGACCTTTAGGATAATCACAGCAGAGGCCTGCGGCATTCAGAGGATGTCTGCTGTTTCCAGCTATATGGACGATGGATGAGATATAACTGAGCATTTGAATGGCATCATATACTTCCATCATAATGTTCTAAGCCCTTTTATACTCTAAACTTTCAACATTTGAATAGGCAACTAAACAGAACATGTTTATCTCAGATGTACTAGAACAACTTGACACACACACAGTGCTGAGCTGCTGTGACCTATCTCCCCCCCTTGTAAAAAGACAAGAATGGATCAATGTTGAATTCCATTTATATCATAATTAACATACAATAATGTATTTAAAAGTATTATTACACACCGTGATGGCATTTGATGGAGTCGTGCTACTGAGTCCACAGACACCCCGGTGACATTGTGTTTGTGTGTGTCCGTCCACGTGTGTTTGCACATCTGGACGGGTGCAGGTGGAACTGCGGAAGCAGGAGCAGCTGCTGGAGCGCCGGTCGGAGCAGCTGAGTGTCTCCCAGCGGGTGATCGCTGAGCGGGAGAAAGAGCTGGCTGAGGTGACCAAGGAGCTGGAAGAGACAGAGCGGGAGAACACGCGCTTACGCCAATCCATGGAGAAGATGCTGGAGGAGAAGGACCACAACAGGCAAATATTACACTTTAATGGTCACATGAGAAAGTGTGGACAGGAAGTACAATCAATGAAAACCCACCTTCTTCAGTGTGGGGGTAAGTGCAAGTGAGTGTGAGGGGGCTATTATGGTGCTAAGGTGGGGTGTGTGTTTGTTTTCAGTCAACAGTCGGGGCCTGTATTAACCAGGTGTCTCAGAATGACTCCATACTAGTACCAAAGAGCGTCTTAGCTCAGATGAAGCTTCCTGCACTGATATTCAGCAGGAGTTGGACGTCACAATTGTTTTCAACACTCTCAGCCTCCAGCTAGACAATATGATGACAGTGGGGTTTGTTTGCACCCAATTTGACTACTTTGGATAGCTCTGCATAGTTTTTGATACTTAGGTGCTTGAACCATGACGCAATATTAAAAGTGAGTATACGTTCTATTAGGGATTGGTATACTCTGTTTAAAATGATTTGACTGACCTTAGTTTATCAGCAGGAAGAGTCTTTGCTGTGCTTCTTCTTTGAATGCATTCAACATGATCTGTAAGGGAAAAAGATTGGCCTAACACAGTAACCTGGAGCTGAAAGGAGCTTAGCTCCACCTCCTGGCCCTTAACCATAACTGTCTAAATAGAGGTTTGACAGGTTGTTCTTGTTACCATTTAGACACATTTATTTTATCTTGGTGACATTCAACACAATAACACTGTCATTGAATCACATTATGAGTTGTGTAACATGGTTAGTGTACATGTTTAATGACTGGCACACCACTAAAGCATGTCATCCGCACACCTAACTCATTTGCGTATGCTGAAAAAACGATTGGGCGATAGAATGCAACCCTGTAGGACTCCAGTGTTTATTACATCATTGTGAAACATCTTGTCCTTGCAGACAAGACGAGGACAGCATGCAGCAAGACAAAGATGCTCTGCACAGGAAGCTGGTGAAGGCTGAGGTGGATGGGACAGCAGCTGCCAAGCAAGTCTCAGCCCTGCGACAGTCTGTTTCCAAACTGTGTGGTGCTGCTGGCAGTGTGAGTGTTAACTCAATGTTTGCCACTAATATTGTGTCCTGTCCGGTCCTGTGAGGTCCGAAGCTGGGAACAGCTTTTACATTCAAGGCAATCCCTAAGTTTTCTGACTTTATGACTTTCTCTGGAACAAAGATCATCAATGCTGATATTAAATGATGCTTTTCAATGACTTTTCAGAATAAGTTCTTTGTCCCTGTCTCTCTTTCTGTTGGCTGCTGAAGAGGCTGTCTGGCTCTGACTCTTTAGTCTTGGCTCGTCAGAAGGAGCTGTTGCTACAGAAACTGGAGACATTTGAGGCGACAAACAGAACTCTGCGGCACCTCCTCAGAGAGCAGCACGGGTCCCAGGTACTGTGTGTAAAGCATCCTCAAACTACAGACTGAATCTTTAGCATCAATATACAGCAAATGTTTATTAAGCATGCACCTTGGTGGACTGTTTTTGAGCAGATGGAGTCAATCCGAGTGTCAGAGCAGAAGGATACATTACTCCAGAACCTGGCAGACACAGAGGCAGAGAATGCTGTGAGTGTGATAGAAGCAGCCTAAATCTAAATCTTTATCTTCTCTTTTATTTTTTTTCATGTAAAACACAGTATTTTCCCCCCTGTGTATAAAATTTGCTCTATAAGTAAAGCTTTCCTCATTTTTCCTTTTACAGCATCTTGTGGTGAAACTTCAAGAGAAGGACAGAGAGGTTCATCAACTCTCCAAACGTATAGCTACTGAGAAGGTACTGATAGCAAAGTTGTCAGTATTTGTGATACTTTTTTACTGTAAATACGTCTCTGTCAATCTGTGGAGCTGTCTCAATCAGGGATCCAAAACTGAACCATATCTTTACAGAGGAATTGAATCCTTTACTTACAGTGTGTAGGTCAATGCAGAATACATGTTTGTCCCTAATGTACGTTCTACTGTATTCCGGGAATGTAGGACAATGCAAAGAGCACAGCTGATTTGTCCAAGAGTCTGGAGTCAACAAGAGCTCATTTACAAGGACAGCTGCGGAGCAAAGAGGCTGAGAACAACCGGCTTACTGTGCAAATAAAGGTTTGTCATGTCTGTCTGTCCTAGCATCATGTGTACTCATCTACTATTGTTGGTGTGTATGATAATTATGTAGTCGGTTAATGAAGTATTAGTCGGACTTCTGTTTCAATATGTGTGAACTATTAACCGATAATCTGCTATACAACAGTGAACCCAGCTGTAATCCTTGGTTCTGTCTCTTCCATTGGTTCAGAACCTGGAGCGAGCAGCCAACCAGCAGAAGGCGGAGATGGAGCGTCTGAAGGAGCAGCTGGTGAGGCTGAGGCAGCAGGCCGGTGCAGACCGAGATGCTCTAAAACGAGCCACGCGAGCCCAGAAACAGCGCGCTGAGCGCAGCGAGGACACTGCAGGCCAGTTGAGCGTCCAGCTGCTGGACATGGTAGGGTCGTGTCACAGAGCAGCTGCAGCTATACATTGATTAGTCAGACACACACAAGGCACAGGCATCTTAGGTTCATAGAATGCATTGTAAAATCATCACCAGGTGCTTTTGTCAATTATTAGATTACTGGCCATATGTTAACGAAACACTTATTCCCTTATTCCTATTGGCATTGGTTGTTTCTATCAGTTCACCTTTAAAAGAGCTTCAAGCCCATCACACACACACACACACACACACACACACACGCCTCTTTAGTAACAGAATCAAGAAAAATGAATCACTGTTCAAGGCACTCTTTTATTTCTTTTTAACAGGAGAAGCAGGTTTCCGATGCACTGTCAGCAGCTGAGACCTGGCAAAGTCACCATGCCCAAGAGGTGAAGGACAAGAGCAAACTGGAGATTGAACTGTCACTGCTGAACAGGTAACTCCAGCTCTGTTATGGCTCCATCTGCAGACAAGAATAACGACGAGCAACGAGATGATTGGCTCACAGGGCCCCCAGTCAGCTGATTGAGTTGGAAGCAGGAAGGGTTAAAAGTGGAGATGTCACAGCTTGATATCGCAAACCAAGAACCAACAACAACACAGAGTTTCTAGAATTAACATAAACAATTAACATAAAAGCACATAGAACTGAGTAACATCGGAACTTATCAATAGCATTAAAACGTTTGTATTGTAGCATATAGTACATTGCATTCATCATCTATATACTTTCCTTGCTTTTATCAAGTATGACATCGTACGAAAGAGGAACCACTAGGCCTCACACAAGAATTAACAAGTTAAAGATTTGTTTTCGTGATGTTTGCTTGCACAAGTGTTCAAAGTCAGATTCACCAAAATCTCTTAATTGGATAAGTTTGTCTTGAAATTCCTTGTTGAGGAATGCAACTCATGGGGAGGTACGCGTCTGGGATGTTTGATCACTAGCAGAGATTAGTGCTTTAAGGGGACCTGAAGACACATTAACACAGCTGCCAATGACGGATCATTAGGGAACACCTGTACTGTGACAGAAAAAAGGATATAATGGTTTGGCATGAAGTTAGATGATTAAAACATGTCTTTCTAAAACCAAGTGGTCCATGTCGGGAGGCAGTCAAGGGGACGTGACTGACACAAAGATATGCTGAGGTACAACAGAGGAGGATCTTCTTCACAATCCTACATTAAGAAAGTTAGATATTTATATATAGTTATCTATTTAGTATTTTAGTTACACATTTACAGTATTAGACATTATCATTTTGAAGTCAAACTAGTGTTTTTATTATTAACCCTATAGTAATCCAATGAGTGATCCGAGTGACGGAAAGTGTTTCAAATAATGCATGAAGATCCCATTGTCATGACATCACTTTACCAGCTGCAACTAGTGAAAGAACTTTTTCAATGAAACCCTAAAAGCAGAATTCTCAAACTATGAAATAGTCTTAACAGTGTAAAGTTACTGTTGGTTCAGAACACCGTCATTTTGGTCATTTAAATGAAGATATGACAGGTGTTGTGTTATGTGATGCAGCCGTATAGCAGAAGTGACGGAGCAGCTGCAGACTACAGTGGATAAAGGCCGAGCGGAGAGAGAGGCCCTGCTGGATCACTTGCATGGACTGACCACAGAGAGCACTGCTGCCAAGCTGGAGAAGCACTCCCTCAAGGTGAAACAACAGGGACCACGTCTATAGAATGGTAACCTGACCATTGCCTGATCAAAATGTCTACATATCTGATGTGCTTTTATGTCTTGGATAATGTGCTTCCTGTCCCCATTATCTTTCCAATAGACTTCCATTGACTTCCGTTACAGTAGGAGGGTTGGGTGTAATGATATAACATGTGTTCCTGTCAGGCTACATCGTCTGCAGTGGAGGACAAGCTGGCCTTGTCTCAGTCAGAGCTTCAGCAGGTCAAAGCCTCAATCCAGCAATATGAAAGCCTGCTGGACAGCTATAAGATCCAGGTATGTGAAGCATACGCTACGACTAGGAACGCAACACTGAGAGGTTTATATTGAACCTTTGTTCAACCAGATCAAATCCATTGAGATAACATCTGTTTTGCTGGTGATCTGCCTGGATGTTCGTAGTGTTCTGATAGTTGTAGTGTGTAACATTTGCAACATTAATAACATTGAATATATTAAAGGCTACATTCTGTTCAACACATCTATGCCTCTTCTAAATGGCTGCTCTACCTATTCAAGATAATATAAGTCCATGTGGAAATTTGCCCATCTTACGATTTAGAGGCCTATTGTGAATTTGGTTGCTCTGGTTCGTCATTTCTAAAAAGTGTGTCCCCACAAAACAGGTTTGTGAAACACTGGTCTAGCTGAGACAGGAATAGGCCTGTGCATGACGTTACCAGGAGGATGGAGCCAAACATGACTTTAATGTAGATAAGAAACCAGTGAGAACTTGAGTTTCTTAGTGACACTTCCAATGTGATGCTTCAAATTTAGATTTTTGTCCAACCAAGTGCCCAGATATTTATATGTATCAGCAAACTTAATGCAACCACTTGCATTTAGAGGCAGTTTTAAAGTATGAGTATGAGATTGTGATAGCACAGCTATCCCATGGACACTGTTAATGTTCATCAAAAGTTAGAAGCCATTTATTTTTCTGTACAGGTTGGAAAAACACGGGCCGAAGCAGATGAGTATCGTGCTCGGCTGGCTCAGGCGGAGCAGGAGGCCCAGGCGGTGCGCAGGGAGCTGGAGCAGGAAGTAGAGGAGGTGCGCAGCGAGCTGCTGGGGCGGCTGGCAGCCTTAGAGCCTCTTCCTGAAGCCTTACAGCGTTCTGAACTCCAGCTGCAGGAGGCACAGGACAGGGAGCACAGCCAGGAGAGACGCAGCATGGAGCTCAGCACAACCCTGACTGATCTCCGAATGAAGGTCAACAGTCCCATGCATGCAAACTCAAGTTGGCATCACAAAATAATGATTTAAGTTCCGAGTTTAAGTGCTAATTTGAAAATGATTCCAATATTACAACATTGATTTGGGGAAAATGGTAAGTCCAATCTAAACACTGGCCTCCGTGCTACATTTTGCATTGTAATGTTTAACACCAAATCACATTTGGATACAAATTTGCTGAATGCTCATAGTACAAAATATATATCTTCTGTGGTAGTAAGCGCTATACTTTCAGCAGAAACTAATAGAAAAAATAACTTCAAACAATTTTATCCAAATCATAATAATAAGAGAAGGAGTCATAGGATTTTCATTTCATTTTGAATGGAAGTTGAGTTGCAGAGCACTGAAAACAACATTGGTAGAAGGCCACTGTCACATTTGAGGTTGAGGTTAACTTTTGCCAATAACTTTATTTTTGCTCCATTAAAATGTTTTTAAAGCACCTCATCAGTATTGCTAGAATTTTTAGTCAGACCACACACATGCAATGAGTTTGAATAAAAGCTGTAAGTAGGAAACATACAGTCCAAGTGTTCAGATGAAGGACTTGTGTTGTTAGGTGGAGACCCAGTGCAGTCAAGTAGAGCTTCTCAGAGAGAAGAACCAGGTGCTGCTGGAGGAGAATCGACAGCTTCAGCAGCGAGTGGAGACTTTGGAAAGGTCAGTCACCACTTCTGCTTTCCTCCGTCTGGCTCTGGTGCTTTGTTCAGACCAGAGGTTTTCAAAGTCTCACATTGTAGGACCCCCCCCCCCTCAGACAACATTTAGACAACTGTGCCCCCCTTCTATTTGGGGGAGAATCATGATCTAAGTTCCCATAATTTGGGGGCTTTGGGGATGTTAACAGGAAGAATAATGTTGCCATGGAGTCAGTGAGTTAGTTATTAGCAGTTCGTATTTGCAGTGTATGATGTGCAGACAGCCATGACTGGGAAAAAAACAAAACTGTGATGTTTCTCATGCAGGTTCTGGAGTTATAATACACATTTTTCCAATGACATTTATTGACATTTATTGTCGATGGACATCAGATACAATGATATGGAAAGTGTAAGTCACACCTAATCTATAAACATGTGTATCATGTCTGTGTGTTCAGATTTAACTGAGTTATAAGGATTATCATTTTAGTTTCTTTGATGGGGTTAACCTGACCCAATCAAAAAACCATCATGGGAAAACTGTTTGGAAAAAGGCAGGCACTTTCAGAAAATAAGTGTCAGGTGATTGGATGAACCATCTGTCAATCAAACTCTTACCGAAGCCAGTCGGGAGAAGAGCAAAACCTTTTGCTCTTCTCCACAGAGAAAAGCCTTCAATGTCGTTCTTTACTCCTCTTTCAATGACGAAATTCTCTCTAATTCTGATAGAACTGATGCTATTGCAGCATATACCTATCTTCTTTGGGAGCTGCCATTGTTGTTTAGAACCAGCAGTGGCCTCTCTGTGTGGTCATGCACTCACCTAAGCCACGCCCGTAGCTGCTGGTAGCTCCTTACAGGACACTGATTGGTCCATGCTCTGGCTTACCGGACACAAACACATTACTTAAAGCTTGACGAGATGGATTTTCGTGTGATATGTGATCCAGCGATCCAGCTACCGTGCCAGATAACAAATTGGTGCCATGGGGGTTTTAAAGTACCCTAACTGCACTCAAACACTGCACTCCATCTCGTAAGCAGTGTAAAATAATGAACCAATCTTAATGATACGAGTCAGTGTACTGGGTAACTGTTCATTCTAACTGCTCATTGTTGTTGTGGCTGACCTGTCTTGTGTCATCTTACAGAAAGCTGGGTGAGGCTGGCAATCAGAACACCGACCTTCTGGTGGTCGTCACCAAACGGGAAGACACCATCCACAGCAATCAGCTCCGCCTGGAAGAAAGAACAAGGGAATGTTCTCTGCTGAGCCGAAAGCTGGAGGAGGCTCTGGGGGATGCTCACCAACAGGTCTGAAACTGAACACTGCCATTTAAAGTGTATATTATAGAATGCAGTAGTAGATCATCATTAGCACTGCATCAGAAAGCGTAGCCTCCTCACTCTTTTCATAGAGACCTCTGCATTGACAAGAAAGGGCTGCAGATATGCAGAGGTTCTTTGGCTAAAACATGCAGAGTTGTCCAGCAAAAAGTAGAACCTGAGCTCACCCTTCAGTGTTACACTCTGAGGCTTGGGTGTGTCGGGCTGCGTGTAATTATAAGTGAGCTTGCATGTCTTGAAGTGCATGTTGTTAGGGACATAGAGTATACTGTAGGGATAAATCAGTTATGTACTATTTCACCCTCTGTTGCCTAGTAGTTAGGTCCAGTGTGTCATATTTATCTCCAGATGTCAGAGACCAGAGGACTTGCTGCCACCAAAGAACGCTCCACCCAGTACAAGATACTGGACCTAGAGGCTCAACTCAGCAGGACTACGTCAGAAATCAGTCAACTGCGACGCAGCAAAGAGGAGGTAAAGGCCTCCATTAATAGTCTAACCAAAGTGTGTATGTATCTGCTGTGTCAGTAGGTCTATAAAATGTGTATTTATGATGCTCAGGTGGAGCGGCGGTACCAGAGCCGACTACAGGATGTGAAGGATCGTCTGGAGCAGTCCGACAGCACCAACCGAAGTCTGCAGAACTACGTCCAGTTCCTCAAAGCCTCCTACGCCAATGTGTTTGGGGACTTGGCCCCCGACAGCTCACTGCGTGCCCCCTCACCCATCTGACAACCCGTCTGTCAGCTGTGTATTATAAGCACTCATTCCACAATAGTACGGTGGTCTGAGCCTGTTACTTTTCATTTTGCTAACAAGAGCTGGCGGCTGTAAAGATGTCATGCTTGGTCAGTGTGGTTGCTTGTTTCATACCATTTTGAACCAGTTAGGTGAACAGTATTGTCTGCTAGTAGTAACCCTAACCCTCAAAAACACTGTGACAGACAGCAGTTCATGCTGCTTACACCCCTTTTCACCAGTCACATGTAAACTGTACTCATAGGGCCTTTACATTGTTTTTAAGACAAGGCATTTGTTAAAGATCATGAAGGTTGATTGTCACCACCAACATCTTTCACTTTACTCATGCTTATTTTACCAGATGCTTTAATCCACTAAATGCATTTCTAACACCTTGTAATACTTTTAACAATCCTTTTAGAAAACTACAGAAGTAGATGAGGGCTTAACAACTTACCAGGTATAAAGCAAATTGTTCCATTGACATGTTGATTGGCTGGGTGATTTAGGGTGTACAATGCTAAATGTGCAAGCGTAGTGAACTGTGTGCCGTTTGTATTTCACTTCAAATTTTGATCCTTAAAAATGGACCTTGTGTCGGCTATGCCCATCTGGGTATTTGTGATGTATGAACTCATTTGGCTGCTTTACTTCCAGCCTGACTGGATACCTGTAGGGACGCTGTAACAAAACCTGATTTCTTTACTATGTGAAGGGAGACACAAGTTACACCTGATGTCTTTGTCCATATGTTTGGGATACTCAGGCCATGCTGTGAACAACAGAGCCAGAAATACAAGGCAGGCACAGGTGGTTTAACATTGTGTTTACCCTGATGACATGCTAGAGGTTTGATGGTTCACACAAAGTGCACCTGTAAGCTGCAGCCCTTCATCTAACCGGCACGCTACCATTACTGTACCACCCATTGTTATGTTTGAAACTGCAGTCAGGCACTAATCTGACCAACGTACAAATAGAGCCCTACAGTGTTTACTACACTGATGTGCAAAGAGGAACACACGCTGGTGAGGTTTAAATGGAAAGCAGTGTTTGGTCTTGAAGATATTTGGTAGAAATAGTTTTTCTTGTTTTTCTTATATCTTCTATGAGTTTATCGTTTGTTCTTTGATCTTCGAGACCAAACACCAACACCAAATATTGTCACCAATATTTTCAGTTGTTTTGATGGCTCTTTGGAGCTTTTTCAGATGGAATGTTTTCTTCAGAAATGTATGATTGGATATCAAAGTCAGTTAGTATTTTACATGCCAAAAACAATAAGAATTGCTCGTCTTCATCAAGCCTTCACAGTCTCTTTTATTTCCATACTCAGCTAGTCATGAAGGTAATATGTCTATTACCAGAGTTAACAGCCTATGTACTGTATTTGTACTGCTATTTATTCAAAGTATTGATTTGTGTGCTGGTTTACATGTAAACAATTCTGTAGCCAAGCCACCCATGACACATGACGTGGCACAATATGTGCTTTAATGTATCTGAGCTCTTTGATTGAATGGAGCTGAAGACATTGGTGCTATCGCTGTTTGTTGGCTGGTACGAGACAGTGTGTGTCAAAACAACTGTTGGGTTTACAGTTTCACATACTACATTATTGGAATACTTGTTTCCTGTCCATAGAGTGTATTCAATGACTCAATAATTTATATCCACTCTGGGTAATAAAACAACTAAATGTTTTTCTAACGGTTTTCTCAACTCTTATTTTGTTTTTGTCATATAATGTTACAAAGAGGATAGAAATGGACATAACATAACACCTTTTGGCATTGGTCCATAGACATACAAAAAAGTGACAGAGAAGAAGCTGTCTATCAGTCAGCACAGCTGCTGCCATATTGTCATGTAGCAGCTGTTCCATTATTTACTGTCCAATAGTAAGTATGAAGGATGTAAGAGGAAGTGTCCCTTTAACTACTAAATTGACATTTTACTTAACATTATGGAGGGCAGTTCAAATGGAAATGAGGCAGGAAAATAATGAATGAAACAATATGTAACAGCTCATGAACAGATGATGTATTGTCTGATAAATCCTTGTGGTAGTCAGCTGATCTCTCACAGACAACAGTGATGGTTGTGGAAAGATTATGTAAGGGCTGAAATGCTGTTTAGTTGAACACAGACAGGTCAGTGTTAATAACTGATAGTCTTTGAAAGTCAGTTTATTGATGAAGATACAGTACTTTCTGTATTAACAGCATAGTCTGAGGCTGCAGGGATGGGAGCACAGCGTCTCAGAATAAGATCAAAACAGCCAGCACTGAATTGATCAGCACTAATTATGTTATAGGTGACTAACAAAGTGCATGAGCAGCAAGCATCATGTATTTCTGTCATGCCTTATCCACCGTTTGTCTTTCAAAGTGTATTCCTGTGCAGTCGGGAAGGAAGTCTGAAAAACTGCCTCAACATGTGAATATTTTGATAATGTGGTGGTCTAAAGATGCAAAGCTCGCCCACCAGCTTTCAGTACATGTATTTAATGATTGCTGATTTGTGCCACAGCCACGATTATGACAATCAGGGTGGAACAAACCACGGTAGCACAGTTTATATTGTGCATGTAATGCTTTAGTGTTTCGGGTCCGTCCGGTAGTTGCCGTTTTTTTCCGTACAGCTGCAGAAAATTACGTCACATTGTAAAAAAAAAAAAAAAAAAAAAGAAAACCAGCAACCCAGAGAGCAGCCTCGCTTCTTTCTGCGTCGACACGAACCACTTCTGAAGCTCTTCGGAAAACCCTTCGAGGTATGAAACATGCTTACATTCTGACTGAATTTGCACAATACATTGCACAATGTAGTCCGTGCTTTCCTCGTTGCCCTGTTCTGTTCATTGAATGTGTGCTTCCTGTCTGCTACGGGTTCGCTAGCTCAGCGGCTAACGTTAGCTGCAAGCGGTCCTTTTGTTAAATGCTTTTCACAGTCGGACAGTTGAAATGAAGATGGACTGCTCGATAGTGTGCCTCTGAAGCTGTCCGTGGGTTAGACAGTGTCTGATGTTAGCTCAATGATGACATTACCGTTAGCCGCCCTACCAGCTGGCATTAACATTCATCATCCTCCATTCAAACAAAATGGTTGATTAAACATTCATAAGTCGACATATTTAACGCCCGCTATCATAACTATTGTGTTTTCCGTCTTGGAAGTGTAGCATTATGATAATGCTGGTTTAACGTGTTCACCATAGCGAATATAACGTAACGTTAACCGTGAGCTGCTAGCGGTAGCTTACTAGTTAACACCGCTAGTTAGTTTACAACGTACACTTTTAGAAACCAAATCTGATATCCCTAAATTCATTGAAATAGGTCTTCAATCACGGTGTGTACATCGTGCGTTTTGATTCAATGAATGAAATACCAGTGTATTAAAAATGCAAGGTTCTGTTGGTGGCTCCATTGTGGTCGGCCATGGCGGAGGGGAGCCGCCCAGAACAGTTGATTACCTCTGGACACAAGGCTCCAGCTGTCGGGCCTCTTGTTACTCTGCTGTCATTCAAATGCGGACAGAGTCACTTTATTCATGTACACGTGTCCTCTGGTGGATCTCCCCAATGCATGCACAGTCTGTGAGGCCGCTATGACTGATGTGTTGTCAGTAGATAGCGTTACATGCTCTTAAGGAGTGGAGCCGGGCCGTGAGAAGACAGCCTGAGTGACGTCAGTACTTTATATAGTTTGCATCAATACGGTTGAAAGTGAATCAGGACAAACAGCGGGAAGTGCGCTATTTCACACTGTGCAGGACAGGGCCTTTGTCAGGGTGGTGCCAAGTTCTCCACATACCAACTGCCCTCCCCTCTGGAGAGGGCTTCAGATAGAAAGCTGCAGTCCCCATGGGAATGAAAGGAGGACCATCAGTGTTGTTGAGAATCAAGCCCCAGCTTATAATTCAGTGTGCTGTTTCATATCTATGGTTCCATGGATTCAACTGTGTTATAGTCCAGACATGTGTCATAATCCTTTGATTGTCATGTTGATTGGTCATAACATTCATTTTAGAACAGGTATATGTATAGTGTATATAGTCTAAAGTTTGTCATTGTGCATGCACAATTTAAAATATGAATGTTGCATGTTTAATGGGCCTGGGCCATAGCAGATGCAGTTAAGCCATTTGATAGGCATAGAGAGTTGCTTTATGATATGAGTATAGATTTATTCATCCGTCCATCCAGTGACCTCCCCGATGAGTGTCATGGTTGCACTACTATGACTAACGTTTGTTTGGCCGTTACACTGACCTCATCTCTAGGTAGCTCCTGCCATCCAGATGTAAAATGGCAGCAACAGAGAATAGGAGAGTATTATTGATCCAGACAATAATGGATGAGCCTTTTCTAAGCTTGTCAAGGTATAAACAGGACCGTGCTCATGGCCATTAGGCTTCAAATTGTATGAGCAGAATCTAAGTACGCTCTGGATCCTGACCTCACGTTGATGTTCTACTAAAACATGGAGGCTAAGTGGGACAGCTCTTTGAGCTGTGCTGCCTAAAATACTACCCAGATATTCCCAGGGCAGATTCTATGTCCCTCTACGCTGCCTCATTTGAATTGGATTGTATTAGAATCATTACTTGATTACATGTCATATCTGAATACGGACAATATTGTTCTCCATGTTACAACTGACTTGGACATCATTAGAGCTTGTTTTCCTGTTCTTCAAAGGAACAAGTACATTTTTTCCTTTTACGTGATTGTCTTTTTCCCCAATGAATATTGGTCATTCCATTGTTCATTTGCAGCATAACTGGACTTGCAAAGTGGACCTATCACAATGTTGAGAACAAAGCCTGTAATAATGTTGTTAGAAGAGCCCTCGGGGAGGGCGGGGCCAGTGGTTTCTGTAGGTCAGCTCTGTAATCCATCTCTATGAAGTCACGTTGATGACTTGCAGCATTTGAACACAGCTATACAGCCTAGATTTCTACAGTGAGTATAAACCTATATCTTTCTCTTCTCCAAACTCCCTCTCAACCTCTATGACGTCTTTCATTGCAGCTGCATTTGACCGGGGCCCAAATAAGACCCCCCGCCCCGTCTCTAGGGCGGTCAGTTCAGGCGGCTAACTCTTTCTGCTGCTGACATCTTGAGACAGTTTGAATGGAAGAGTACATCTCAAATGTACAGTGATTCTTGATGCATTGACTTCTGAAACGTTATCATGATGAACTTCAAACATAATGCTTACTGTGAGAGCATCTTCCTGTTCTGACTACCTACTGCTGATGGCCTCTTATTGATTGTGAGATGAATGTTATGCCCCTACACAGATTGACATGTTGACCGTTACTAAACCCAAACTCAAGGTAACCTCTATGTTTGTCTCACTGTACTTCTGTGTGTTTGCGTGTGTCTCTTTGAGTTGGTAGAGGACGGGTGATTGGAGTGTAGCTCGGTGATGGTGTTGTTTTGCTGAGTAAAGCACTGGGAGAGAAGTGGAGGAGGAGCAGGGTCACTGAGCACAGAGAGGCGCATGGGCTGGGCTACTTCTTGGCTTGCTCTTCTGTACAGCGTAGTCACTGCAGGTGCAATGCGTCTGACTGTGCTGCGGAGTGGATGAGCCTTCGTTTCTTCAATCACTAATGGACCTTTTAAGGAGTGTACTACAGATGTACACATTGCTGCAGATTATGACTTCATCACAGATGTAGCCTTCTGATCAACCAAGACCCAAGAAAACCTCAGGATCCACACTGGAAATATCTGATGTGTGTATGATTTGGTTTTGCACTGTTTCTTATTTTCATCCTGTCAAACTACCAACACAGGTCTTTCTGTATGAAAATGCCCTTTTCTATTTCATTTGACTGTCATGAGGATGTGGTAAGTGACTGGTGATCTGAATTGTGCATGTGTTTGTCTGTGTTGGCCTTCTCTCCTCCTGAGCCAGCACCATCTAGACCTTTTAGTGAATAACTCCAGAAACAAATAGATTTTTACTGCATGTCTTTTATTGGTGTGATATTCTTTGCATGGAAATGAAACTTACCTCAAAGTAGGATACACTAAGCTATCACGCATTTTATAATCTTACGATGTTTGTTGCTTCAGAAGATGAGATTCCTGCTAGTTATCGGTGTAATAGGAAATATGAACAGCTTGTGTTTGCTAGGATCACTGATGTCATTAGTGGTTTTATAACCTTAATGTAGATTATATTTGTATAAACTCAACATCAAGTATGGGGTTAACACTAGCAGTTGGTAGTTAAAGGATACACATTTTGCTGACTAACTACAGTTGCTTCAAATTTCTGATTTATTTGATTGTGTACCGACACATCACATATAAGTTCCTAAAATTCTTTATATGCGACTACTTTCCCCTGTAAGTGTTTTTCTGTCTGGCCACGCTGTGAAGCAAAGGGAATGACAGTCAGCTGGAGGTTGTTCAGGAGCATGCGTGTTTTGTCTCTCTGTCCCCCAGTAGGGAAATGGACTGGCCTGGTCTCATGAGACGCTCTCATGTCCTGCAGAATGCTCCCAGTGTGGCGTCAGTAGGACCCCTATTCATAACACATAACCAGAGTAACTGGGCGTTGCTCAGTGAATGACTTCATCCACTGCTCTGTGCACCTCTGATGATGATTTAAGGAAGGTCACTGCAATGTATGAACCTACTGGAAACCTGCTGTATTCTCTGAGACGGGGTCTGATGTCAGGGTTAGCCTTGCTTCATGTAACAACGCCCAGCATACGTAATACATTCTGTACTCCGCAAACAAGCTCCATCTGTTTATGAAGTGGAATGACTGGAGTTAAGCTTTAGCATGGGTTCAGGGTTAACCTTCTGAACTCCTCTCTCCTCGGGGTGTTTTGAGTCAGAGTAGCAGGTTGTTCTACATATAGCATGTAGTCGTAATCATTTAGATTTTAGTTTTAACCAGGAGAGGTATATAGATCTTGTAAAAGGCTTTTTATGAATAATCTGGGTCATTGCTGTTGTATGTAGGCAGTGTAACAACAGGCAGCTGTTGTTGAGGCTGTGAGGTAGCTCAGCTAGCCGGCCGTCCTTTATGCTGCATTGCTGCTCTCAGGAGAACATTTGAGTTAAGCAATTTATTGATTTCTATTCCAGTTGCTCAGGTTTCTTGACTTTTTGTTTCAGCGTTTGTTGCCAAGTTAGCTGAGGGAGTACTAGTATCCATGCATATAGAAGACAGGATACCTTTTCTTTAATGCGCTGCTCCTAATGAACACTTTTCTGCATCATTTCCAACCAGAGAGAGGTGGTAATAGTGGCTGTTTCTCTACCCATGAAGTGGACTTTGAAATGGTGATGACTTTGAAAGTCACATGCTGCTGGCATAGTTCCAAGTTCCCACCCAGCATTACATTTGAGTTCTGCCTGTAAGAGGAGGTAGAAAAGGACTTAGGGTTGTATAACTCCAACCGTCAGTGGAATAGAAGCCAGTAGTACTGTCGGCTGATATCACTGTGTGTGGGTGTTACCCAGAGGAGCAGGGGGGTGAAGAGAGGGAAAGCTGTTATCTACTGATGTAAGATGGGAGGAAGTGCTATCAGCAGTTGCAGGGCTGTATTTGGTGGTGTCACAGATCTGTAAGGCCACGCTTGTACTCGGACTCCACAACTGGCGTGTCGGCTACGAGCATGACTTAGAGCTCGTGTAGTTTGGTGCCGTATTCCCCAAAACACAAACAAAACAAAAACACAACTCCTCAATGCCATGGAGGAATTGTAATTATCTGCAAACTCGTATCTCATCTTCATGGACTATATTATTGCCTTTTATACAAGTTCTGTAAAGAAACCAGCCAAATATTTGGAATAACAAATGTATTCTAATGAAACGAAGGTTAAAAGTTTGAATATCCTGCATTTTAAAAAGAGTTGTCCGTTATTTGACTTCTTAATTTAGCTTTGTTTTTATCAGTATTTGTGGCAGTAACATCTGAAAAGGCCTGCTGGTTACAATATGTCGGAGGTGCACGACGTAGCGCCGCAACCGCTTGCAGAACCTTTGTGCTTGATGCACAACACGTGCTGACATCACTACACCAGGCATAAAGCCAGCTTCAGTAGCCCTGCTCTGATGCAAATGTATACAATTCATTCATGTATTAAAGTTAATTCCGATTACCATCAGACTTTATATTGAACCAAACACCTATTTGACCCTCTTACCTCTCAGTTAATAAGGTACCTCCTAAAAGACTGGTCCTCTTCACACTGAGTCACAAACGGTGTGATTGTAACTTCACATTACTTCATGTCATGTCACTTTGTTTGTGATGGTTCTGGTTTGAACAGGCCGTATAATGTGCCGTTACACATATTGAGACTGATGTAGTGTTGTCAGTACTTGTGAGGCCCAGTACTGTCCAAGTAAAGTATGTTTGATCAGTGAAACCTTTCCTGGGAGGAAAGGTTTCACTGCAATCTGCCATCCAGTTCACAGTGTTCTTTGAAAGCTGTTAAACTGGGTTGCTACAAAATACACATCCTTGTGTCATCACAGTTAGATTATTGGGACTGGTTAAGGGCAGGTTGCAAGTCGACTAATACAAGCTGGCAGTGTGGAGTTGACATTTGGCTTTATAAATGTCGGCCTCTTTTATATCAAACATGCGTGATATTTGTCTGACCTCCACTGTGTGTCATCAGTCCTCTTCTAAGTGCTGCTGACTTTTTCTCTTTTCAGAAGTCCCCATGTAGGGTTCAACAATTCAATAAGAAGAATACTGAAAATGAAATGAATATCAATTAATGTTGTGACACAACATTGCACAATTCTTTTAATCAAAGAAAGTGCTTCAGTACAGTTTTTCTCAGTGTTTTCAGCATCACGCTGCATGTCTTGTTTCAGCCAGCTAGTAAATGTGGAGGAGTAAGGAGGTGAGATCATAAGGATGTTAAAGTTAGAGGAAGAACCCTTGTGCTAACATCACGGTGCACAATGAGTCTGGCTTCTCTCAGTGGAATCCCTGAGAAGCTTTAAGCTCTCTGTGAACTGGGACAGGCTGGGACGTGGGGGAGGGGTGCTGGCTAGTGTGTGTGTGTGTGTGTGTGTGTGTGGTGCCTCTGGTTAAAAAGCTGCTGACCAGGAGACTGTCTCACATCTATCCACGCTCTTTGTCACACGATCTGCTACATCAACAAAAAACCCCATTGATCTACATTAGGCCTGACTCACCCCCCACCCCCCCACCCCCCCGACCCTGCACTCAGCTTTTGTGTTCGGGGTTTGTTTGACCTTGGTTTGGTTGGACAGATCGATGTCTCTCTTCTTCCCTCTTTGTGTCCGTCCGTTGATGGGTGGATGCTGGCACAAAGAATTAGTTCTCAACTAAGCAGTGGTTAAGTATTTTAAAATGTCTAACTGGTACAAGCCACCAGAGGGCTGGAGCAACTGCAATCTGGTAAAACCACCAACAGTCATACTGTGATTATTTTCACTGATGATTGGTTTTATTTTGAATGGTTTTCATTGCAGCTCTTCACAATGTGCCATCGTAGAGATGAAGCTAGTATGAAGGCCTGTTCAAGATCACGTCTTGTTTCAACAAGGTTGCTAGCTAGTGTTTAGCCACAGCTTGAGGCTACACTGACCGTGGGTCAGAGGCACAGTGGACACAGAAACCCACTGCAGTGATTCCATTGTGTATTGAAACCCAGCACTGTCCCATGCATGTGGAATTTCCGGCTCCCCACCCCCGTCTGGCATTTGACTCTTTCAGCTGCTGGTTGCTCAGCTTGAGACAGGATGGGAGTCCGTCCTTTTATTTAAAAAAACATTGTAAAAATGTTTTTTTAAATGTATATATATTTCTAAACCTGGATGCTGAGACCCGGCGGGGGGTCAACTTAGGCCGGGTGATTGTTTGGTGTTTTTATGCTTGTTTGATCAAATACGGTCCTGTCTGTGCACATTTTGTGACATAATAACCACTTGTGACAATTTTTCTTATGTATAGATTATAGACTGATACAAACAGCCTACATGTAGGATTCTGTGGGGGGATCACCGATGGCTGGAAACATACCGTCTATTTTAAGCCATTTCTCTGCTCTGCACTTTGTATGTCTACGTGTGTTAGTCTGTCACAATTGGCCAAAAATTACTTGTGAATAATCCTTCTTGGAAAAACAGGTTTGAATATCTATTTCTGCGCATTGTGTCCATGATAAGTATCCTCACTGGCTGTGGGTGTGATTTCCAGTGAATACCACATTATAAATGTGTGTTTTCTGTTTTTAAAAAAGTACAAACTTACTTATGATTCTTATCATGGTGTGTTTCCAGAAAATGGACACCACAGGGGCTAAAGTGCTGGAGACAGCCGAAGACATCCAGGAACGCCGACAGCAGGTGCTGGACCGCTACCGGCGTTTCAAGGAGCTGTCCATTATGCGGCGGACGAAGCTGGAGGACTCTTACCGTTTTCAGTTCTTCCGCCGCGACGCTGACGAGTTGGAGAAGTGGATCCAGGAGAAGCTGCAGATCGCCTCTGATGAGAACTACAAGGACCCCTCCAACCTGCAGGTTTGTCGGGCTGTTTTTTTTTTGTGTGTGTGTGTGTATATATATGTATATATATGTATATGTGTATATATATGTATATATATGTATATATGTATATATATGTATATATATGTATATGTGTGTATATGTGTGTATATATATGTGTGTATATGTGTGTATATATAT